GAAGGAATCGATCGCCGACTACAAAAACGACAAAGTTCTTGGGCCAAAGGTGGAGAAGGCTACGTGGAAACCCACCAAGGAAGCAATGACGGTCAACACAGCTCCCGTCAAAATCCCCACACGAGGCAAGGCGATTCAAGCCGAAGGCTTTCGTGATCAAGAGATGCGTAGACACACTTTGAAGGAGCTTGAGGAGAAAACTTATCCATTCCCCGACTCTGATGTGGTTGCCATGTTAGAAGACTTGCTGGAAAAGAAGGTGATCGGCTTGCCTGAGTGCAGACGGCCAGAAGAGATGAATCGCACTGACAGTTCAAGGTACTGTAAATTCCACCGCTTCATCAGTCATCCGACAGAAAAATGTTTCGTGCTGAAAGATCTCATCATGAAGCTGGCTCAGAAAGGAATCATCGAGCTAGATCTTGACGATGTGGTGAACACAAACTATACCACCATCACTTCTGGCTTTTCCGACTCGAAGTTTTCACCTCAACCGCTGGGGGCATCCTCCAAGACAAGCAAAATTGAAGGATGGACTCAAGTCACTCCTAAGAAATTGCACAAGAAGCATACGTCTCCTCCACAAGTCCGCCAATCGGAAAGGGGGCAAAACAGCTCTTGTCAACCTTCAAAGCAACATGAACGTGTTGAAGATGATGAAATTGCGACACAAAGATCGTCCGTTGCCATCACGATGCGCGACTTCTTACCTAGAAGACGAAGGCAAATGCTGCTGGAACAAACCCACAAACCTCTGATGATCAAGTAAAATCTGACCATCAGATTCTTGCATCTGGTCAATCTTCCTCTTCATGTTTGTCGCATAGCTATGTGCGAGCTTATGCAACTGTTTATTCTCCTGCTTGAGCCTTCTAATCTCCTGTTTGAGACTCATCACTTCCGCCACCAATGATTCAACTTGACGGGTTCGAGCAAATAGGCGTTGGGCCATATTAGACACAGAACCTGCACACTGCACACTGAGAGCCAGAGAATCCTTAACAGCTAACTCATCAGACCGTTTGGAAAGTAGTCTGTTATCTCTAGGAGTGACAAGGTTTCGGGCCACCACTGCAGCGGTCATATCATTCTTCACCATCGAATCCCCAACGGTAAGAGGACCAGTAGGGGATATGAAGGATGGGCGCCATATGTTGTCTGGAGAAGGCGGGACTACCTTTTCACCAAGGTTCAAATCAAAACGATGGTCGGAAGGCCCAGACATTTTCAAAGGTGTTGAAGAAAGAAGAGGTCGGACAAATTAAGATCTTAGAAGTGCAAGAGGGGAGTTTCTACAAGCAAAAATTCAAGTGTGCTTTGAAACGAACTGCGTGCCTCTATAAAAAAACCAGCACTCGACAGGATTTCAGAGATCGAAGAGGTGAGCTCAGAGTTCGAAAATGTCGATTCAAAAATCGAAGAGGCAAGCTCAGAAATCGGAGAAGCATCTTGCTTTTCCAGACGCGTTAGCACCCGTCACGCGCAAACTCAGCTTTGCGAAAATCACGGGCAATTTGTCGAAGCGCCGATCCCAGATATCGAAGAGGTGCCAGTCTTTTTCAGCCTCGTCAACACCTATCACACGCACACTCAGCTTGATGAAAATTACGGACAATTTGTCGAAAATTTCTGATAAAGAAGAAAGCACGTGAAGCCATACTGATCAATCACGCATTGGTTACCGACACGAGTAAAAGAATAGTACCTCTACAGGTACTAACGAATTTCCTATAACTGTCCACCTTCACCCTCCATAGCGAGGCAGACATACATAACCTTTCTTCATCTCCGAGAATGCCTTCCCAACGAAGCCTCTCGGGTCACTCAGTGTTCCTTATTCCTTGGGGTACCTCTGCAAGCCAATGACTCCAAAGCAAAAGTATCTCATATCACCAGGGTAGAAAGCAAGAGTATCTCATATCATGCGTTCTCCCTGTCATTTCCTTTGTCCTTGTTCTTACCTACAAAGATAAGGATAAAGAAAACAATATGCCGGAACTTCCACTCAAACTCGGGTAAGGAACCGACTGCTTGGAACCCTTCCCTGATTGCCTACCTAGCACTGCTCTCGAGTACTCGTCTCCCACTGCTGCTGTACTTCCAAAGAAGCTGCCACATCTGCCTGAAGAACATATAAAGGCAAGTGAAAATAATACCTTGCAGCATGTAGAGACAACGTGCAGAAGAAACAAGCAGAGAAGAATGCGGTCTGCACAGTCAACTCAGCAGAAGGAGTCCGAACTGAGGAACTCAAGAAGCTGCCACATCTGCCTGAAGAAACAAGCAGAGAAGAATGCAGCATGCACAGTCAACTCAGCAGAAGGAGTCTGAGATGAAGAACTCGAGAAGATGCCGCATCTGCCTGAGGAACAGTTAAAGGAAATGAAAATGATACCTTGAAGCATATGGAGACAAGTGCAACAAAGCACGTGCTGAGTCATCCGCTACTTCTTCAAAATCAAAAGTATCTCATATCATCAGGGTTGCAATCATTCTGGATGGTGAACTCGTTTTGACCCTCAAATTCTTGGGTCGACTTACTAGGTGTTGTGAGATGTACGTGTCGATTCACCACCCTTGAATCAAATCCTTAAAGATCAAGTCACCAACTGGAAGAAGAGCCCATCAATCTTGAAGATCATACCGTTGACCAAACTGCTCAGGTGTGAATTAGAAAGATTGAACAAAGCAACAAGTCGTCACCTTCACCTCGTGCCTGCTTGTCATGTGTTCGAGTCAACCTTCAAGAATCAAGCCTCAAAGGCCCTTGAAGAAGTTTCCAGCCAAATTCAAGATCAAGCCTCGACGGCCCTTGAGGAAATCACAAGTCCGATTCAAGATTAAGTGTCTACCACCTTTGAATCAAAACCCAGTTCAAGACCAAAGCTGTGGAAAGTCAACAAGCACAACATAATATGTGCCACTTCATCCACTACCAAAGCCAAAGATCATCTACCACATGAAGCTCATTGTGGTCCAATTTCAACCTTCAAGATCAAGCCTTGACGGCCCGTGAAGAAATTTCAAATAAAAGTTCAAGAACAAGCCTCAACGGCCCTTGAAGAAATTTCAAACGAAAGTTCAAGAACAAGCCTCAACGGCCCTTGAAGAAATTTCAAGCCCAAGTCAAGATCAAGCCTCAACGGCCCTTGAAGAAATCTCCAGCCCAATTCAAGATCAAGCCTCGACGGCACTTGGATCGACATCTACAGTAAGGGACTTCAAAACGCATCTCCTACACGTGACAAGCACATGTATACGACGTGCCTTGAAGTGGGGGCATTTGTAGACATCGAAATTTCGGTAAATAAATGTTGACCGATAAATCAAAGTGTCAACGCTCATGTATTACATAAATTTTACACGTAGCGTATGACTCAACGAAAATTGAAATGAGTTGGAAAAGTCATCAAACAGGACACGTGTCAACACATGGCAGAAACGACTTATTTCATCTGGAATATTATATTCAAAATTAGGCCTTGAAAAATTCTATAAATAGAAGGCTAATTCATTCATTTGGAACCAATTGATACTACACCTTGAAGCTCTGAAGCTCTGAAACTCCGAAGCTCTCAAGCATCTAGGTTCCCGAAGAATCAAGAAAGCCTTCTTCGTTCTTCGTTCATCATCCGTTCTTCCAAGATCAAGCCCCGACGGCCCTTGGATCAACAATCATCCACCTTCAAAGATCAAGCCCACGACCCCTTGAAGAAACTTCCAACAGTTCATCCAAGATCAAGCCCCAACGGCCCTTTGGATCAACAACGTTCAACAAATCCACACATCCAACCGTTCTTCAAGATCAAGCCCAAAAGCCCTTGAAGATCCGTTCATCACCGTTATTCAAGATCAAGCCTTAACGGCCCTTGAAGAAACACTTATCCTCAAGATCAAGCTCCAACGGCTCTTTGAAGATCCGCTCAAATCCACCTTCAAAGATCAAACCCATGGCCCCCTTGAAGAAACTTCCAACAGTTCATCCAAGATCAAGCCTCAACGGCCCTTGGATCAACGAAACATCCACAAATCAATACCTTACGGAGATCGAATCAGAGGATCAAATTTGAGAGAGATTGTAACCCAAAATAAAAAAATACAAATATTTGTTTGTGCACGTCGTTCTTGTCTCTTTCGTTTCAGGAATTTTCCGTGTTCACAATAAAATCTACCTATTTTTTTTTATATATAATTCATTCAATCTTTTTTCTAATTCATTTTTTAAATTTATGTGGGTACATTCTATTTCTTTGATTTGAGAATGAATTCATGTCAAGTTTAATAGAAGAAATTTAATATGTACCCATGTTTTGGAGCAATAATTTTTTTGTTAGTTTTAATGAACGTACCCATGTATGTATGTGTATGTATGTATGTACACACACAAAATATATTGGAGAGTATAATTTATCTTTAATATTTTTTTATCCCATAAATTATAGGTTTTATTTAAAATCTCATTAATATAAATAACTACAAATTTCATTTTTAATTTAAAAATAAAATAACCTACATAGAAATACATTATTACATTAATGTCAAGGACTTCGATCAAAAACGGAAAATCACAAAAGTTTCAGTAAAAAAACATTGATAATTAGGGACCGCATCCAAAGTCTCCCAAAATTTAATGACCGAGGCAATAGCGGATTCAAAATTTAAACTTTGGCTCTTTTAATTTAAAAACCTAAATTTTGAAAATAAAAATTTTAGCGCGCGAACAAATTTCAGTTGATTCACGGAGACATTTCATCGAACACTTAGTGAGCTTGTTATCGTCAGATGAACTATATTATGAATATGTTAACAGATATTGACATTTGCTGAAGCTATATGACAAGTGCTATGGATAGCATTTGTAGAATATTATTGACGCAACCTACCGAGTACTATCAAGATATGCTTAGAGGGGATTACATCAAATACTGATCCCAATGTGCATCTGCCCTTGAACTAACATGGTCATTTTATTTTGGATGGAAAATTAAATAGAAATTGGATGTCAAAGATCTTCGGCCAACTTTGTATAACTTGTATCAAAAGCACTGTCAAATATACTTTACAAGAAAATGAACATAAATCAAATAATCCATATCATTAACAATACAAGACCCACACATTAAACTATTAGAAATATCATATAGCACACAACTAAAGCAACTGTATCAGACAACTCTTGCATTTATAATTTGTTTTAGGTTACAAGACTATATTTCGTCTACTTAAGCCTCAACGATGACCTTCCCGGTTGCATGTCCATCCATACTCTTAGCCCATGCATCTTCAGCCTTGCTCAGAGGATGCGTCGAGTCGATTACCGTCTTGAGCTTTCCTTCCTTCACCAACTTAACAAGATACTCAAGGTTCTCAGCCTTGACATCAGCAAACAGCGGCACCAGCCGCTTCTTCGAGAAGGAGAGTTTCTTCAGAGCAAAAGTAAGAAAGGCACTTGGACCGGGAGTGATTGCTATGACCTTCCCGTTGGAACTCAAATTAGGCTCAAAAGTTGACCAGGGAACACCGGTACTGGTTGTGCAGTGGACCACGGCATCATATTTCCGACCAGATGGGCTCTTCAGAGCTGCTCCTTCTGGGGTCTTGTAGTCAAGAACCTCATCTGCCCCTAAGCTCTTGACAAATTCAACGTTACGAGCTCCACAAGTGGCCGTAACATGAGCATTACCGAGCTTGGCTAATTGGACTGCATACTGACCCACACCGCCAGAGGCAGCAGTAATCAATATGTTCTTTTGCTGGCCACTTCCGTCAAGCTTGACCCGAGCAGCTTGCGTGAGACATTGGTGAGCTGTGACGCCAGCAATAGGTAAGCCTGCAGCTTCAGCTGCTGAAACTTCTGGTGGCCTGGCCGCTGTCATGTTCTCATTAGCTGTGGCGTACTCAGCCAGTCCGCCTCCAATCTATCCATATGTAAGATGACAACAGAAAATTGAGGCATAGATATAACAAACGAGATCTAAATGCTAAACTTCTTATATGCACAATGAGCTATTCAAAAAGGGGAAAAAGTAACCAAAGGATTAAGATGAACACTCACAGCAGCGGTCAGATATGCCACAACTTTGTCGCCCGGTTTGAACTTTTGGACGCCCTCTCCAACTTTTACAACCTCTCCAGCAACATCAGTAACTATTTTCAATGATATCATTACACGATGTCAACAAACCAACCTACCAGCCTAAGACTCTCAGACATGAATGCATAAACCACAAAACAACTCGTCTCGCAATATAGGAGCAATATCTCTCCATTTTAAAGTCAAAGCATAAATTTGTTTCATAATCCAGCTAATTTATCTACCTCAAAACTATCCAAATACTTCAATGTATGATGAGTGTTTTATTAACAACATGAACTAATCTGTAACCATTATGCCCAATTCTTTAAAGAGGGCAATCTCTTTGGGACACCGAGTAGAGCATGATTTTGTTTCAAACGCCGTAGTAATTAATCAACATTAGGTAGCTTTATTAATCAGTTCAATGTTGTCGTAATTAATCAAATTTAGGTAACTTTACTTTATCATCAGTACATTGCCTGGCCTGCGGCAGTTTATATGACACGAATTGATTTATGAAGGATCCTCAAACGTTAATTGACTGGAACAGGGTGATTATTGAAGAATTTAACAAACCTAAGTAACTAAACTTCACCAAATTCTACAGGCAGTGAAAGAAAATTTGCAAAACAAGCACTGCATAGTCATATGAGGAAAACTTTTGAAAAGGAGGCAGGTAAAAATCTCGAGTCTTTAGTTATTGTCGAGAGATTTTTCAAGGTGCCCAAAACACAGGGTGGAAGATCACATGTTATTATACAATTGGAGGAAAGTTTTTTTTTCTTTTCAAAGTGTTGAAATGTGATGTTCCGTCCTGTGTTTCAAACACACTAAAAAATATGTCGTTATTGTCATTGTATAAACAGTTTTTACCAACATCAACTTCGAATACTTTGAACAGGTAAAATACACTAGTACAAAGGCCTTGTTTGGCTTCGAGGGCTGGACATGAATAAAAATGGATGTCAAACTTTTCAAATGTTTTGTAAGTTTAAGGTAAAAGATGGGTTATTCAAGTAGGAAACCTAATCAATTTTTTAACTTCAACTGAAACAACATTTGGGAGTTGTTGACGTGCATTTCTCTTTTATAACATACATTAGAATGTAGAGTTATCCCTTTCAAGTTTCAACTCAATCTTAGATACCAAATAAAACAGGTCAAAGTTCCTACCAAGGTGATCAACTTGATTACTTACCAGGTATATGAGGAAATTTTTTGGGCAAAAAAGGTCGTGCCACGCCTTTCTGAATTTTCCAATCCAGTGGGTTTATACTAGCTGCTTCCAATTTCAGCAAAACCTCGCCTTTCTTCGGAGTGGGTATTGGAACCTCTGCATGCTGCAACAAATTTCATAAATAAAATACAGATACAAAAATTATAAAACTCTACTTTTTTTTCCGTTATAGAACTCGAGTTTTTTTGTTTCAAGCCAACGAACATTGAGCACTTCGTAAAAAAAAAAAAAAAGAAAGGGAAAAATGTAACAGATAAAGAAAAAGGAACCTGTAAACCAGAAGCTCCTCCACCATAGCGGACGTACTGCACCGCATGCATAAGCTTGGGCGCCATGCCTGCCATGCAAACCCTAGTGGGAACTGTTAAAATATTAATGTTAAGTTGCTATTTATATCAATCTCTATACGTAAAGCCAGCAGGCCAATATATACAACCAGAACCAGGACATGCTTGTTGAGAAAAGTCAGATAGATGAAAAGTCAAGCCTTGAAGAAGAAGAAGTTGGAAGTCAGAATTTGCAACTCTCTACAATAAAAGGTGATGAAAAGAAAATTCACAAGTGAGAAAGTACGAACTGAAAACTCTCCACCACCACACAAACGACGGCATTAGCTGTGTAGGGGGCCATATGATCAGAGAGGCGGAACGAAGAGTCGCCTCCCGTGTGGTGAGAGAAAAGTCTTCACCAAATAAAAGCTTGTAAAAGAGAATTTTGGCACGGAACAATCAGAATCTATTAACAAGAAAATGTGAACATTAGATCCCAAACCTTATCATTTACAATACAAGACCTACACATCACTGGAAGATATAACAAATGACACAACTCTAGATAAGTGCATAATGTTTGCATATCCCATTAAAAACCACTAAGATGTATCTTGTCTACTTAAGGCTCGACAATAATCTTCCCAGTCGCATGTCTATCGATACTCTTAGCCCAAGCGTCTTCAGCCTTGCTCAGAGGATGTGTCGAGTCGATCACTGTCTTGAGCTTTCCTTCATTGACCAACGAAACTGGATACTCCAAGTTGTTGAGGAAAATTAGAGTACACAACCCTAACACAAATATTGGAGAGACAAAACAAGTAAACAAATTATTTGTATTACACTCACAGAATATTACAACACAACAACTATCAAGGGCATAACTTAGAAGCTATGACACTCTCTTTTTCTAAAGACACACTCTAGACCACTCACACTCTTCACAAAACTACTCACTCACAAGGCTTCTCACTTTCTTACTTAGCTCTCTCTTAGTTTCTAGTTTCCTCTCTTACTTTCTTACTTCATTACTACTTACTTTTCTTACTTTCCACCATTACATATTTATAGGCTTGCTAAACCGACTTACTAAGGGGGTGGTTTGAGAGTGAGGTGCTTAAAAAAAAAGCACCCATGAAAAAAAGCTGTGAGGGTTTTAGGTGTTTGGTAAACTGAAAAAAAATGGCTTATTTTGGAAGCTGCTGTGAGAATAAGCTGAAATCAAAGGAAAAAGCTGAAGCTGCTATTTGCAGCTTTGGAAAACTGGTTTTTTTTTCAAAGCACACGGAGCTACAGTGCTCCTTTAATGAAAAGACCCACTATCAGACTTTTTTTTTTTTCCAAAAGCACTTTTACAAAAAAGTTTACCAAACACTCTGCTGATTTATTTCACAACCGCTTATTCTCACAGTAGCTTTTTTTTCAAAGTACAGCAATACCAAACCAGTCATAAATCGGTGAAATGGACTCATTTCATCCTAGCCATTGTTCTAGACTTTTCTACAAACAGCCCACTGACATGGGCTGTGTTTATGACCACACATTTGTTACAATAGCTAGAAAAAGAGAGTGTCATAACTTTTTAAGCTATGTGGTCTAGCTTATGTATGCTTTTTACTTTGATTTTTCACCATGGGGTAAACTTTATTCTTTGGGCTCTTTGGGCTCGTGTTGTACTTTTAACACAAGTTCTCAGCCTAATTCAAGAGCAGTGGCACCAGCTGCTTCTTTGAGAAGGTGAGCTTCTTCAGAGCAAAAGTAACCAAGGCACTTGACCTTCCCGCTGGCACTCAAATTAGGCTCAAAAGTTGACCAGGGAATGCACAGTGGACCACAGCACCATATTTCCGACCGGATGGGCTATTCAGAGGAGCTGCTCCTTCTGGGGTCTTGTAATCAAGGACCTCATCTATCCGTAAGCCTCTTGACAAATTCAATGTTAGAAGCTCCACAAGTGGCTAACATGAGTGTTTCCGAGCTTTGCTAGTTGGACTGCATACTGACCCACACCACCTGATGCAGCAGTAATAAAAAAGCTCTTTTGCTGGCCACTTCCGTCGAGCTTGACCCCTGCATTGCGTGAGACTGGTGAGCTGTGAGACCAGCAATAGGTAACCCTGCAGCTTCAGCATACTCGGCCAGTCCACCTCCCTTTTATATGGTAACAAAGTGAGGCACTGGTGATAGCAGTGACAAACACATGGAGACCGAACTTAACCAAAGGAATAAAATGAACAGGTACAGCTTGGGAAAGATATGCCACAACTTTAATTGTCGCCCGGTTTGAACTTTTGGGTCCCTTCCAACTTCTACAACCTCTAGCTCCAGCAACATCAGTAACTGTTTTCAATAACATCATTGGTCAATGTCAACAAACCAACTTACCAGACTCACAGACATGAATGCATAAACCACAAAACAACTCAACTCGCAATAAACACACAGCGTATGCTTTATGTGTGTTTATTGTTCGCCTATTTGTAGACTTAAAAGAGTTTAAGTTTATAGACTTCAAGAGTTTTTCATATTCACATCGATAAGTAACTCCAATGTATAGGTATTACACATTGGCCCCAAGTAAACAGCCAAACAATTAACATATTTACAATAATAACCCTTGGATTAGTCTACCAAAACAAAGCTTGTAAAAGATAAATGTTTGCAGGAAAGTATCAGAATTAGCGTATTGACAGGAAAATGTGAACATTAGATCCAAACCGTATCAGTTGCAATACAAGACTGAAGACCAACACATCATTGGAAGACATAACATAAGGCGCACAACCACCTGTATGAGATAACTCTTGTTTAAGTACATGAAGATATAGTTTACATTCCATTAAAAATATCAGTATGATGTTACATCTTGTCTACTTAAGGCTCGACGATGATCTTCCCGGTCGCATGTCCACTGATACTGTTAGCCCAAGCATCTTCAGCCTTGCTCAGAGGATATGTCGAATCAATCACTGTCCTGAGCTTTCCTTCCTTCACCAACTTAACGAGATACTCCAGGTTCTCAGCCTTGGCATTCATGAGCAGCGGCACCAGCTGCTTCTTTGAGAAGGTGAGTTTCTTCAGAGCAAAAGTAACCAAGGCACTTGGACCGGGAGTAATGTCTATCACCTTCCCGTTGGCGCTCAAATTAGGCTCAAAAGTTGACCAGGGAATGCCGGTTGCACAGTGGACCACGGCATCATATTTCCGACCAGATGGGCTATTCAGAGCTGCTCCTTCTGGGGTCTTGTAGTCAAGAACCTCATCTGCCCCTAAGCTCTTGACAAATTCAATGTTCCGAGCTCCACAAGTAGCTGTAACATGCGTGTTTCCAAGCTTTGCTAGTTGGACTGCATATTGACCCACACCACCAGAGGCAGCAGTAATCAGTATGTTCTTTTGCTGGCCGCTTCCGTCCAGCTTGACCCCAGCAGCCTGCGTGAGACACTGGTGAGCTGTGAGGCCAGCAACAGGTAAGCCTGCACCTTCAGCTGCTGATACTTCAGGTGGCCTGGTCACTGTCAAGTTCTCAGTAGCTGCAGCGTACTTGGCCAGTCCACCTCCCTTTTATACGACAACAAAGAAAAGTGAGCCACAGATGATAGCAGTGACAAACAAATGAAGATAGGATTTAACCAAAGGAATAAAACGAAAACTTACAGCTTGGGAAAGATATGCCACAACTTTGTCGCCAGGTTTGAACTTTTGGACCCCCTGTCCAACTTCTACAACCTCTCCAGCAACATCAGTAACTGTTTTCAACAATATCATTAGCCAATGTCAACAAACAAGAGTGTACAAACCACAAAACAACTCGTCTTGCAATATAGGAGCATAATTTGTTTCAGAATGTTGCTAATTTATCTACCTCACAACTCTCCCCAACAACACGAAACTGATCAAATTCCGGTAAATGTATCAATCAGTTCAACGCTGTAGTACTTAATCAAACACCGGGAAAAACAGAAATTACCGGGTGTATAAGGGAATTTGCGGGGCAAAAAAGGCCGCAACATGCCTTTCTGAATTTTCCAATCAATTGGGTTTATACTGGCTGCTTCCAGTTTCAGCAAAACCTCGCCTTTCGTCGGAGGGGGGATCGGAACCTCTACATGCTGCAACAACCATACAATTTTGCATAAACAATTTATTAAGGTAGCTCTCACATGTACTACTTTCTCCATGGATTTTTATTGCCCTTCAAAATCAAGGGCACATATTCAATCAACATTGCAGCATTTTCTCAAGAGTTATCATTCATCTCTTCGGTTTTTATTTTATTTATTTGGGATTTCAGAGCCTAATTATACAAGTAATACATTTTCTTTTTACACCGAAGAGTATTGAGCATTAATGAAATCCCAGAAGCAAAAATCACCAATAAAATAAGAATAAAAGACATGAGAAATCTACAAAATAATGTTTTTACAGAAAAATAGAGAATAAAAAAGAAGGCGACAATCGTAAAGAAAGAACCTTTAAACCAGAAGCTCCTCCGCCATAGCCGTCGTACTGAACCGCATGCATAAGCTTCGACGCCATTGCTGCCATCCCCTGAGTCGGCAGAGAGATAGAGAGGGGCGACAGAGAGTGCGTGTGTGTTTTCCTAGATTCTTTGCGGGAGCGGCTTTAGACGTCTTGTATACCAGACGTGGACGCACAGCAAGTTGCCAAGTGTTATATTATTGTGAATGACGGAAATAACCTTTTATTTTATTATATTGATGTTTCGGTTTTCGATTTTTCTCGATTTTTTTATTACCAAAATATAAAATTTGGTGTTTTAAGAAAAGAGATTGTTATTGGTACTTTAAAAATCTAATTTTGCACTCCAAACTTTCTATAATTAGAAAGAAAAAAACGCTTGTGAGGAGTGTAGAATGAGATTTATGAAATGTCCCTTAAGAAATTCTATGTAATTCAATGAAATTATATGTAATTAAATATTGATCACTTATCGATAAAAAAGTAAAAACGAAGTCAAATATATATTGACCTTAAATCGTTCAAATACTAAACCATTGTATCCCACTTTTTCAGGGCCTAAAAAAGTGAGTAATATTATTCATACTATATTTTTGTACTACATTTTCATATCATCTTAAGTGGCATTTGAGGTAAACAGTTTATTTCTTGAAAAATTATGATAAAAAAATTGTATGCGGAGATTTATCGAAAAAAAGAAAATTGTATGCAAAGAGTACTGACTTTTTAATATAGTAAGCTAACTACAATTTACATCATAATTTTACAATTGTATCAATTTACATCTTTTGAATATTTGAATGTACTAATATCCATTAAGTTGATGAGTTTTTCAATCAATGTGGTGCATATATAACTTACAAATCATCGCAATTACGGATTTCATAATTACCATGTCATCAACTTGATGAAGATTTAAACACTAACAAAATGGTACAAGTCAAAATCTTAGGGGGCAATACGAAAAAAATATAGAGGGTGTAAAATATATATAGCCATAATATAATAGGATGTATGGGATGCACACCCAACAATACTTACTATAAAATGTACTTAACAATAAAATTAACATTAATTTATATCCATACCTTATCATTTACAATACAAACACCCACACATCAATGGGAGATAAAATAAAGCACACATGAAATTTACATACCACTTAAGAAACACTAAGATGTATATACATGGGTAATGCTATCCACACACCTTTATTTACTTTTCACATACCCCTCTCAATTTTCAACTGTCTAGTCGAGTGAATTGAAGGTGATCAAAAGACAGAAATTAACAAATGGCATGTGAATAGAACCACCCTGTCTCTTGTCTACTTAAGGCTCGACAATAATCTTTCCAGTCGCGTGTCCATCCATACTCCTAGCCCAAGCATCTTCAGCCTTGCTCAGAGAATACGTCGAGTCGATTACCGTCTTGAGCTTTCCTTCCTTCACCAACTTAACAAGATACTCCAAGTTCTCAGCCTTGACATTCAGAAACAGTGGCACCAGCTGCTTCTTCGAGAATGTGAGTTTCTTCAGTGCAAAAGTAGCAAAGGCACTTGGACTGGGAGTGATGTCTATTACCTTCCCGTTGGTACTCAAATTAGGCTCAAAAGTTGACCAGGGGATGCCAGTTGCGCAGTGGACCACAACATCATATTTCCGACCAGATGGGCTAGTCAGAGCTGCTCCTTCTGGGGTCTTGTAGTCAAGAACCTCATCTGCCCCTAAGCTCTGGACAAATTCAATGTTACGAGCTCCACACGTGGCTGTAACATGCGTGTTACCGAGCTTTGCTAGTTGGACTGCATACTGACCCACGCCCCCAGAGGCAGCAGTAATCAATATGTTCTTTTGCTGGCCGCTTCCGTCCAGCTTGATCCCAGCAGATTCCGTGAGACACTGGTGAGCTGTGAGGCCAGCAACAGGTAAGCCTGCACCTTCAGCTGCTGAGACTTCAGGTGGCCTGGACACTATCAAGTTCTCACTAGCTTTAGTGTACTCAGCCAGTCCACCTCCATTCTATCCATACATAAGATGACAATGAAATTGAGGCACACATATAATAAATGAGTTCTAAATGTGAAACTTCTTATATGCACAATTAGATCTTCAAGACGGGGAAAAAGTAACCAAAGGAATAAGATGAACACTCACAGCATGGCTCAGAAATGTCACAACTTTGTCCCCCGGTTTGAACTTTTGCACTCCTTGTCCAACCTCTACAACCTCTCCAGCCACATCAGTAACTGTTAATATCATTAGACAACGTTAAAAACAAAAACCTACCAGTCTACAAACTGAATGACATTGATAACTTAAACCATCAAACACCTCGCCTTTCAATGTAGGATAGATGAATGCCATTTTAAAAATCAAAGCACAAATTTACTTCAGAATCCAACTGATTCAAGCACCAGAAAAATCATTAAAAAAAAAAGCACCGGAAAATTCTCCCAAGATTACAAATAGCATAAAGTGTAAATGAGAAGTTTCATTGAAAACACGATATGATCCGTAAACCATTGTGCTTACTTTTCAATATTCACTTTTTAAAAAGGGTCTCTTCGGCATGCCTAGTTTTTCAATAATGCAGTAACCAATCACACCCAGTACCTTGTACAACAGTTAGCATGTTTCAGCTTATGAGACCAGTTGAATGTTGTCTAGGTATGTCAAAAATTTAACTAGCCCGGTGCAGCAAACTTATTGAAAGGCGAGTAGACTACACATCAGTGGCATTACCAAACACTAATGACAAGCACTACGCTGTAATGTGAAGTGAACAAACACGTCTGAAAAGGAGCAGGCACAAACTAGAAAGCGGGTTCTTTTGGTGAAAAAGGGGGCCTAGCCCAAACAAACTTCTACAAATCTATGCCTGGTAAGGCCAACCAAATCTTCCAATACAAAAAGAGGACGATCAATCATTATAAAAACAGAGGCCTTGTTTGGTGTCAAGCATTGGACTCGAAGAGATAACACACTTGACTGAATGGATTTTAGAACAAAAAACCGGATGCCAGATTTCACATGTTGCCTAAGTTGAAGGTAGAAGATTGATTAGTCATAGAGGATTAAGTTATCCTTTCAATCCCCACAAAAATGGTAGAGTTAATTTTCCTCCATGACTAATCCTCCTTCTAACTTCAACTTAAACAACATATGAAAGTTGGCATCCATTTTTTCTTTGACGTACATTGAACCTAGTAAGTTATCCATTCCAACCCAATCCTAGACACCAAACGAAGGCCAAAGTTCCTACCAATACGATCAACTTCTCGTTTATAACACTACAAGTTAATCTGACTTTATAACAAACAGATCACTTAAAATCTTATTCATTTTTCTAGATGCTATGATTGGACTGTCAAATTATTTACTCAGGAACTCACAAGCACGCACATAATTACTGCTGGGAAAGTTCAAGATTGATTGTAACTTGTAAGAAAAAGAATTTGGTCAAATTCTTGCAAGCAAAGAAAGCAGAATCATTCACCAGGTATGTGAGGAAATTTTCGGGGGAAAAAAGGCCGAAGCATGCCCTTCTGAATTTTCCAATCAACTGGGTTTAGAGCAGCTGCTTCCAGTTTCAACAAAACCTCCCCCTTCTTGGGAGAGGGGACCGGAGCCTCCACATGCTGCAAAAAACAAATTACATGAATAAAATACACATAAATTCGAGAAGGAAATATCAAAGAAGGAAAAACATATGAGATAGATGTACAAAATGTTAGACCAAACAAATTTACAGAATAACAAAAGGGGAACGTACGAGATGAAGAAAGAAAAGCGATAACCTTTAAAGCAGAAGCGCCTCCGCCATAGCTGTCGTACTGTACCGCATGCATAAGCTTTGACGCCATGTTGCCGTACCCTTCTGAATCGGCAGAGACAGACGAGGGAGGATTCAGATTTGTAGAGAGAGAAGAGAGAGAGTGAGAGAGGGCGAGTTGCTAGATCCTTGTGGATGGAATTTGGATCCTCTCCTGAGCAGAAGGTGAGGATCCAAGGTATGTGGACCGTTAGATAAAAATCTAACGGTTATAATTATTATAATTTTAAAGAAATCCCTTATTTGTAATCGTTGGATTTTCATCTAACGACCTACAATCCTTGATCAGGAAGACCCTCACCTTGAGCTCAGGAGAGGATCGAAATCCCTAGGATTGGGTTTTTGACAACGACACTTGGAATTATTTCAGTTTGCCACGTGTTGAACTAAGATAATCGACGGAAATAACTCTCTGGTTTATTGACTTTATTCACTTGTAAATATATCATTATATAAAAATAAATTTAGAGTTGGTTGGAGGGTGTGGTGCTTTAAAAAAAAATTAAAAAAATTTAGACATCAAATGTGTTTAGTAAAACAAAAGAAAATTGTTTCTTTTTCAAAATTGTTGTCAATAACAATAAAAAATAGAACTATGGTCTACCATGCTACTATGCTTCTTGAAAAAGTTTTTTTTTTTATTCAAAGCATTGTGAATAGTATCTATTTAATGAAAATTTCAAATGATAAGTATACTCCTGTATACTATACAAAATTACAATTTTTATCGCTGCATTATTCTCTTTGATAATTTTTATAACACATTGAATGTTATAGTCTTTGTAATCATTTAACATGTTTACAACATTTTTATATAAAAGTTTACCAAATATTTAAATATTATTTTTTTGTTAAAAGCACTTTTACAAAAAAAAAATTTATCAAATATTCAACAACTTTATTTTACAGCTATTTATTCTCACAGCACAACATAAGTATTTTTTTTTTCAAAAAACGCAACAATACCAAACTAGCCCTTAGTGTTAGAGCTCGCCAAGGAAGAGTAACTCGATTAGCCTATTTCATCTTACATCTATCATATTATTAATTTAAATAGATAATCAAAATCTTGTAAGTATTTATAATTTGGACAAAATTGACACCCAGCAAAATCATAATAAAATTGACAGGTAACAACCCCAAGGGGTAGGTCAATGAGGGAGCAAAAGTTTAGAACTCACAACCTAAAACGTAGTTAACATTGCCAACTGTAAAACGTAGTTAACAATAAAATGAACATTATTTAAATCCAAACCTTATCATTTACAAAACAAACACCCACACATCAAGGGGAGATATCATAAAGCACAAATGAAGTTTACATACCGCTATAAAAACATTAAGGACTTGTATGTCATGGATTGTGATAACCACACCTCTTTATTTACCATTCACACATCTTACTCAATTTCCGACTGCCGGATCTAATGAATTGAAGATGATCGAATGATGTAAATAAATAAAGAGTGTGTGAATAGTATCACCCTATATTTTGTTTACTTAACCTCGACAATAATCTTTCCAGTCGCGTGTCCATCTACACACCTAGCCCAAGCATCTTCAGCCTTGCTAAGAGGGTGCGTCGAGTCAATCACTGTCTTGAGCTTTCCTTCCTTCACTAACTTAACAAGATACTCCAAGTTCTCCGCCTTGGCATTCATAAGCAGTGGCACCAGCTGCTTCTTCGAGAATGTCAGTTTCTTCAGAGCAAAAGTAGCAAAAGCACTTGGACCAGGAGTGATGTCTATGACCTTCCCATTGGCGCTCAAATTAGGCTCAAAAGTTGACCAGGGGATGCCGGTTGTGCAGTGGACCACAGCATCATATTTCCGACCAGATGGGCTAGTCAGAGCTGCTCCTTCTGGGGTCTTGTAGTCAAGAACCTCATCTGCCCCTAAGCTCTTGACAAATTCAATGTTACGAACTCCACAAGTGGCTGTAACATGCGTGTTACCGAGCTTTGCTAGTTGGACTGCATACTGACCCACGCCCCCAGAGGCAGCAGTAATCAATATGTTCTTTTGCTGGCCGCTTCCGTCCAGCTTGACCCCAGCAGCTTGCGTGAGACTTTGGTGAGCTGTAATGCCAGCAACAGGTAAGCCTGCACCTTCAACTGCTGATACTTCAGGTGGCCTGGCTACTGTTAAGTTCTCACTAGCTGTAGCGTACTCAGCCAGTCCACCTCCATTCTATCCATATATGTAAGATGACAACGAAAATTGAGGCACAAATATAATCAATGAGTTCTAAACGGGAAGCTTCTTATATGCACAATTAGCTCTTCAAGACGGGGAAAAAGTAACCAAAGGAATAAGATGAACACTCACAGCATGGATCAGAAATGCCACAACTTTGTCCCCCAGTTTGAACTTTTGCACGCCTTGTCCAACCTCTACAACCTCTCCAGCCACATCCGTAGCTATTATTATCATTAGACAATGTTAACAACAAAAACCTACCAATCTAAAATCTCATAGAAATTGATAACTTACATCACCAAACAACTCGCCCTTCAATGTAGGAATATCAGAAAAATCATAAAAAAAAATCAACGGAAAAATCTCCCATGATTACGAATATGATAAAGTTTAACTGAGAAGTTTCATTGAAAACACGATATGATCCGTAAACCATTATGCTTACTTTTCAATATCCACTTTTTAAAAAGCGTCTCTTCGGCACGCCTAGTTTTAAAATGATGAAATAACCAATCACACCCAGTACCTTGTTACAACAGTTGGCTTGTTGCAGCTTATAACACCAGTTGAATGTTGTCAAAGTACCTCAAAATTTAAGTAGCCCGGAGCAGGAAACTTATCGAAAAGCGAGTAGACTACACTTCAGTGGAAATACCAACCACTAATGACAAGCACTGCACTGTAATGTTAAGTGCACAAACACGTCATAAAAGGAGGGAACAACTAGAAAGCGGGTTCTTTTGGTGAAAAAGGGGCCCTAGCCCAAACAAACTTCTACAAATCCATGACTGGTAAGACCAACGAAATCATCTTCCAATATACTATCTAATCTACTCGAATCGAAGGCTCACAAAGAGGATGATCGATCATTCTAAAAAGAAAGGCCTTGTTTTGTGTCAAGCATTGGACTGTAAGAGATAACACACTTGACTCTATGAATGTTGAATGAAAAATTGGATGCCGGCTTTCAAATGTTGTCTAAGTTGAAGGTAGATGATTGGTTTGTCATAGAGGATTAAGTTATCCTTTCTATCCCACAGAAATGGTAAGATTAAGTCTCCTCCATGACTAATCCTCCTTTAAACTTCAACAGTACAACTTGGACAACACTTGATTTTTCATTGACGTACATTGAATCCAGTAAGTTGTCCATTACAACCCAATCCTAGACACCAAAAGAAGGCCAAAGTTCCCACCGATACGGTCAACTTAATCTGACTTTATAACAACAAACAGAGCATTTAAAATTTATTCATTTTTTTAGGTGCTATGAATTGGACTGTCAATACTCAGTAACTCACAAGCACAGAATTACTGCTGGGAAATTCTGGTAAGAAAAAGTAACTCACAAGCACAGATTGATTGTAACCTGTAACAAAAAGTATGTGGTGAAATTCTTGCAAGCAAAAACATCAGAATTATTTACCAGGTGTGTGAGGAATTTTTCGGGGTAATAAGGGCCGAAACATGCCTTTCTGAATTTTCCAATCAGCTGGGTTTAGAGCAGCTGCTTCCAGTTTCAACAAAACCTCTCCTTTCTTCGGAGAGGGGATCGGAACCTCCGCATGCTGCAAAAACCAAATTAACATGAATAAAATACACATAAATTCCAGAAGCAAATATCAAAGAAGGAAAAACATATGAGATAAAAAGGTTGTACCAGTGCACAAGGCTCCCGCTTTACGCAGGGTCTGGGAGAGGTGAATGTCGGCTAGCCTTACCCCCATTATGGAGAGGCTGCTCTGGGCGAAGGCACTTGCCATCGCACCAAGTGCGACCTCTTAAGGAAAAACATATGAGATAAATCTACAAAATGTTTGACCAAGAAAATTTACAGAATAATATAAGGAGAAATGTAGGAGATGAAGAAAGAAAATAGAAAACCTTTAAACCAGAAGTTCCTCCGCCATAGCTGTCATACTGAACCGCATGCATAAGCTTTGACGCCATGAGTTGGAAGAGAGACCGAGAGATTCATATTTGTAGAGAAGGACAGAGAGAGAGTCGCTATATTCTTGCCGAATGGGTTTTTGACGTATTGTCTAGCGCACACACGTGGAATTACTTGGTTGCCAAGTGTTGAATTAAGGAAAACGCCGGAAATAACCCTCTGTTTTTTATGGACTTTTATTCCATCACACTTTAGTGTGTATCGTTATATCAAACAAAAATATAATTCTTACCATTTATTTGTACCATTATTTATATTATCTTCTTAATAGAAATGAGATTTGCCACTCAGTACTGTGGTCTGATAATATTCATCTTCACTTGGAAGTGAGATATCTTAGGTTCGAATCTCATAGATGGCGAATTCAATACCAAATTAGACTGTCCATTGTGTGACCCCTTCTTTTTAGTGTAAAAATATCGATATACTAAAAAAAAAAATTAAATTACACAAAACTACCTCAATTATAGGTCAAACTACAATCTTATACCTCATATTTTAAACATTGCAATGTTATATCTCAACTTATGAATTCATTGCAATGCTATACCTCTATTAAATTTTCTATTAATTTAACTGTTAAATAATGACGTGATACGAGTGAGATCCACTCTTTCCCCATCTAAAACAAAAAATTATATTTAATAATTAAATTAATTAAATTAAAACTCTCTTCCTCACTCCCTCACTCTCTCCGCTCTTATTCCTTCCTCTGTACCGATCCCTCCGCGCCCACTGGCCCTCCTACTCTGGCCGTCTTGTCGAGTTCCTCCACACCGGCTGATACACCGCCATTGATGGGGAGGAGGGAACCTCAGAAAGCTTCAGTTGGTGTTGCGAGAAATACGCCTCAGATCAGAGCCGGTCGGGTCATTTGATGTGCCCTTGCAGCTCTGCACCAGCGAAAGCGGGTACGGCGAGAAATCGAAAAGGACTTGGGTATTTCTTCGGTCAAACGGTTCTCATAAACCATCCACCTCCATTGCAGCCCTGTATTTCCACGTGCTGGCACTCCGTCTTTTCTCTCTTTTCTCATTTTCTTCCTCTTGTTATCTCTCGTTCTCTCCCACTCTTATTCGACATGGAACCAGAGGGATGGCTGGCGACACCTCAGACTTGCTTTCGCTGACCTCCGATTTAAGATCCTATTTGTCTTGCCATTACTGACTTCCGATTTAAGATCTATCAGTTTGTCAGCGTAAGGGGGAGAGAGACGTGAGACAAAGAGAGAAACAATGTAAAAGAAAAATAGAAGGGAGAGAGAGACGTGACAGAAAGGGTGGGGTGGGTGGACGGTGCAGGTGTTAGGGAGGGGAGTCGGCAAGAGGTTGGAGGAGGGTACTGAAGGGAGGTTTGGAGAATTTTTAATTAATTTTAATTATTAAATTAAAAAATAAATTTTTTATTTCGCTTTGGGAATGGATGGACCCAGCTTCTGCCACGTCATTATTTAACAGCTAATTTGATAGAAAAATTTGATGGAGGTTTGATATTACAACAAATTCATAAGTTGAGGTAGGACATTGCAATGTTTAAAACATAAGGCATGAGATTGTGGTTCGATCTATAATTAAGTTAGTTTTGTGTAATTTACTCTAAAAAAATAGAGATGAAACTCACATGTGTTGGTGTGTCCTACCTCTATTAAGAGCACTCCCACCTTAAAAAACCTGCCCTTTGGGCAAAGGCAATTCAATCTCTAAGTGAATAGTAATTGCCTAGCGAACAGTAACTATCCAAGTGTATAGCCCTGGCTATTAGTATTAAAATATTATTATTATCTTTTTTTATAAAATAATAAATAATAAAAAAATTATTTTTAATTTCGGATAGCAATAAAATATTAATAGAAAATATTTGTGAATATTGAAATGTGGTGTAAGAAGAACATGATTAGGTATTTACAAGAAAAAATTATAATTTTGTCTATTGTTAATTAAATTTTTTTTTATAATTTTTTGTATTTTTAACTAATTTTATAATCTTTTATATTTTTAATTAATTTTTCACATTTTTTATTAATTTAAAAAAAAAATTGATTGTGTGGCTGTAACATCCTACATCGTCAGGGGAGTGGATCCTCTAACCTTTATATGTATATTCCCATCTCTATCTAGCGCGAAGCCTTTTGGGAGCTCACTAGCTTCGGAGTTCATCGGAACTCTGAAGTTAAGCGAGTTCGCACGAGAGCAATCCCATGATGGGTGACCCACTGGGAAGTTCTCGTGTGAGTTCCTAGAAACAAAACCGTGAAGGCGTGGTCGGGGCCCAAAACGGATAATATCGTGCTACGGCAGAGTCAAGCCCGGGATATGTTGGGGGCCCAGGCCGAGATGTGACAATTTGGTATCAGAGCCAATCCCTGGCCGAAAGTGTGCTGACGAGAACGTCGGGCCCCTAAGATGGATGGATTGTAACATCCCACATCGCCTAGGAGAGTGGATCCTCTAACCCTTATATGTATATTCCCATCTCTAACTAGCATGAGACTTTTTGAGAGCTCACTAGCTTCGGAATTCATCGGAACTCCGAAGTTAAGCTAGTTCACGCAAGAGCAATCCCATGATGGGTGACCCACTGGGAAGTTCTCGTTTAAGTTCCCAGAAACAAAACCGTGAAGGTGTGGTCGGGGCCTAAAGCGGATAATATCGTGCTACGGCAGAGTCAAGCTCGGGATGTGGTGGGGGCCCGGGCTGGGATGTGACTGTGGCCTTACCTCACATGGCCTAGGGGCTAGGCCAGTCAATCTTGGCCTGGTGAGCAACTGGGCTTCCTCGAAGCCAAATGGATTGGAAGGGGTTGGAGGAGTTTTGAAGGGAGGGGATTTAATCCACCATCCCTAAGGGATTTGAAAGGGTGGAAGTGCTATAAGATATGGCACAAATAGATGGCAGGTGTAGTGCTCACAACTATGCGTACTATTATAGGAAGCCTTAATTATATTTACGACCATGAATATTATTATATTGATTAGAATTATCGAATTACCATTGCATGGTCATGCTTATGTTACTGCTCATCATACATGCTTACACTGGCGTTTACACTCACCTCAAGCCAGAGTCAGTCTTCACGTGTATGTTCACATCAGATCGATACACTCACCTTGGATCCATTATAGGTGTCAATCATGTCCTAGATTGCTATAGGCAATTAGGATTCGTATGTGATGCGCATAATGTCAATCTTCACATGATTGTAGTACTAGAGCGTAAATCATTATTACACCCCCGTCATATTCTTGTCAGAATATCTCTGCATAAACTCATGTGTTAACATATGTTGATGAGTACCGAATATATGTTTTATATGCGAAATACTGTGAATGATTGCACTCTTAAGATATTACTATTTATGGTAAGTGTTTTCATACTATATGTAGTATCATATTTGGAAATTATACTTGTTTTATGGGGAGGGTTAATTCATTTTTTAAAAGATTTTACAAAGTTTTATTTTAGGCCCAGCAGTTCAAATCCACTTCTAAACGAGCGAAGAAAACATACTTTAGGAACTCACTCTTGTTTTTCACCCCTTTAGGATTTAGTGGCAGAGTTTTTGTGTCGACGAGGATTCTTGGCAAATGTTGATATTGGAGATTAATTCCGATGGTATAATTCTTATTTTACTTTTACGGTATTTTACTTATGCTCTGACATCACTTGTGAAATGAGTTCAAACCCGCTCACATGCGCACTCTTGCATTTAGTCACTTTTAGGTTTTAATTTAATCACATTTTCCACATTACTCACTTTTTCTTCGTCACCTTCCTGGTATTGGCCAACACAGCTCGATTAGAGTCCAGGTGGATATTCCGGGTTAAGGTGTGTTAAAAATAAGTTTGTACTCATTTATTTTGTATAAAAAAAATCAATTTTTAATCTAAAATGTACCCATTCATGTTACTTTTCAATTTTTTTAATCTTAAATATACCCATTCTTAAATATATCAAGTTGTTATATGTAAAGTATATCATTTTGTTTAGATGTAAAATAAATCAATTTTTATGTAAAATTCATTAAAAAAAATTCTAGCTGTTGCAATCATATTTAGAATAGGAATATGATTGTATAAATCCTAGTGTATCTAGGGATATCTTGGAATATTTCCTAAGTTAGATATTATCATATTAGAGTTGCAATCCTATTAGGGTAGGGATTTAACTTATCCTACTACTATAAATAAAAGCACAATGAGGTGATACAATACACATCTCACAATTAAATCTCTTTCTTCTGTCTCTTATTGTCGTCATCCTCCTCCTTCCCCCCCCTTAGAATAGTTCAGTAAATTAGGCATATAACACGTTATCAACACGCTCTTGCCAGAAGCTAAGGAACTGAATGATCGTAGGAGGAGGCTTTCTTCTACAAAATTCAAAGGCTTTTCTTTGTTTTTTGTCAATCAGGTATGCTTAAAATAAAGTAAGATATTTGAAACGTCCACGAAGCATGAAAACATTCCCCATGATGCATGAATCCCTATATTTATATTTTCCTCCGATATATATATATATATATATATATATTGTATATGTTTCATATATTTCTCAATATATATATGTTTCATGCATTATGCAATTATTGTTTTGCTATGCGGAATTTGTGAATCAAAGCATATAAATAAATTAGAAGCAATTTAGGGTTCTTTAAACCCTAGAAAAGTTGGAAAAAAAAACTGGGAATTTATGTGGCATGGCTGCTGCTAGCACCACCGCCAAGCACTGTACCTATGCCACCAGAACAACGTCGTTGCGACGTCTGGACTATGGCAGTAGCTCAGCTCATTGAGCTTTGCTACACCTACACGGACACCAAGTCTCGGCTTGGTAAGGGTAAATGTGGGCCTGCAACCCCTCCAGCCCACACCAGAAACTTTTGAGTTGCTAGGCTTTGTCCCGAGTTCTTGGCCCAAACCTGCAGTAAGTATGTTGCTTGTTAGGTCCAACCATGCCCCAAGGCTGCTTGCAGCAAGCCTACGTTGCTTGTTGGGCTTCGCCAACCCTCGGCCCAACCTGCCA